TCTGCGCCCCACCAAAGAGAGCTCTGTCCTCCTTCATGCTCTGGTTCACGTCGATTATGTGCGCTCCCGCCAAGAGCTGCATCGCCATCGAGGACGTGATGATGGGAGTGATGCCTACAAGCAACGTAGGGTTTGGGGGGGAAGGGCACGAAATACACAAAAAAGAACCGCCGTTCGGTTTGCCAGAATACAAAAAACGGAAGAAAACGATACCCAAATGGTGCTGTTGTTGCAGGGGCGGCGGCAGACTGGCTGCTCTTCATGATCCCGCTGTTGTTCGGTTTGATATGTAGGGCAGTTCACAGGGGGCTGGCCACGAAATGCTGCCTGGCTACAACACGAACAGCGGGTGAAAACATGCAAAATTCTTACCATGCAGAATGCTTGCTGCCTTCGCGACGGGAGGCCGAATAAAGGGACGGGCGAACCAAGACGGGAGTGCACCTTATCCGCCGTCCAGCACTACTTTCCACAACGCTGCCAAGGCCAAGCGTAATATTATTCTTCGGGCACTCCCCCAACACCTTTGTAGCGGCGTCCCATAACTTGGGGAAGGACGCGAGGGGTTCATCTCAGCTAGTTGTTATGGAACCTGAAACATGTCTGGGCGGTGACTACCTGCCACCGTGCGCGATGGGTTCTCACGACCCGCCGCACCGCCATCCCGATAGTCGACCATGACCCCCCGAAACAGCAGGGTTAACGGAAGGCTTTGAATCGCTTTTGGCGCGAGCTTGTGTGAAGGTCTACCTCTCTCGCTTACCCAAGTCCATGACGGTGCCGTGGCCTGAAGCCAACACGATGCGCATGATGTCCGATGGCATCGAAGACGCCAAGCCGGAGGGGACGCCGTACAAACGCGTGTTGCTCGCCCAAACGAAGAGGATCATCATGCCGAGCGTCCAGCCCATCCTTTCCTTGAAGTTAACCTACATGTCGATCGGATTCGTGGGTACGAAAGGATGGGCGGGGGGCCAAAGAGTTCAAAAACTACTGCCGTAAACGTACGATAATTTTGCTTTTGTGATTGTTGCGGAAGACGTGTTGCTCTGTGTGGCTTACGGACGGGTCCGACGTGTCGCCAGACTTGCTGAGCCCGGGGGGGGCTGTTCACAGCGTGGCAAAAAACTTGGGGCATATTGTAACGAAATCCGGGAGCAACGTTAAGACCCCGTGGTGTGGTAACGGCAGAGACGCTGGATTGGGCTCGAACAGCCGGGATTGTACACGTGCTGCCACACGTACCTACCGGTCCAATCTTTCCGATGTAGGGCGTGGCGTTAACACATATCTTCATTGTGATACATCGGTGCTTGCGAAGCCAGCGGAATGCGCCAAGATATTCGACGGATCTATGCTGTCCACCCTGACAAAAATATATCGATATATATCAAGGTTACTGAGGATGAGTATTGGCTGCAGCAAAAGGTACACCTCCATACCCAACTCAGATGCTGCCGAGCCTGGCTACTATCAACAGCAACAGCGCAGAAACGGGCATCATAGCTGCCCTTAAGCGGATCAACAACACAAGAATACCCAGGGCAGCCACGGTCGAGCTAGGAAATACGATGCCGCGGACCACGGCCTGTTTGCCAGAGGTGTTCGCAGTTCCGCGGGCGGCAACTTTCTATGCACACGCCAGGCGGTGTGCGCCGAAGACGAGCGGTACGGCATTAACACCAAAGGACGGTCTTTGTAATACCCGGCAATTACCTTCCGGTCAGGCGCGGAGACCTCCGGCAGCACACACATCATTGGTCTCATCAGATGGAGGAACCTGTCGTGAGAAAATTCGATTCGGGGCAAGACGATAAGTGGTTCTCTTCACATTAAAAACCGTTCCGATCTTTGCTATCATTGTAACATCCGCACTCTATCAATGGTCCCCACCTGCAAAGTTGTCTACTTTCCTCGTATTAATAGTGTCAAGGAACGCTGTCCACTGGAGAATATGTGCAAGGTGGCGTTTCGGGTCATTGACGGGTATCACAAACATTTCTGGCTGAGGGCAAAGGGTTAATGTGAAGCGAGCAGCGGCGGGGTAGCTTCAAGGACGCACGCTTGGGCACTGGCCACACACTGACCACCAACTCGTCTGTTGTAGCTACAGCACGGCTGCTGCTGTTGTGTAGATTCGAAAACGACAATGCTGCAGTTATGCTAACAACGACGCGGGAACCCGTGTGTGTGTGTGACACGGTGAGACTGCGTGCACTGCTTCACTGCGTTCTGGATCCATTTTTCCGTCCAACCGAGGCGATCGAATGATTCGCCGAGATAATTTGACAGCAGCGCAAGTACTGCTCCCCACCGTTGTCGGCCTGTGTGGAACAACGAGCGCCTGTGAGGCCCGCCGCCGTTGTTCCTTCCAAGAACCGAATGTAGTGTGAGAGCTTGTTCGCCGACCGCTCTCTGCTTCACACACAAGTTTCCCACCCGGTTATGGCCAAAAGGCTCTCTCTCTCTCTCTCTCTCGAGTAAATTGTTACCATCCTTGACTGCCTACCTCATGGTGTAGGCTGGGCCCTGGGGAAGTGCAGAGAGCTCTGTCGGTGATCGCTCTCGTCTGTCACCCTGGCTGCTGCTGCCCGGCACAGGACCCCGCGGTTGAGAAGCAGGCGGCGTGCGTACTCCAGCACTGGCGACAGAGACTCGTGCTCCAGCGACGAAAACGCCTCCAGAACTCATACTACAGAACCTTTTTTTTGAAAGCGAGAACCAGCACAACAGCAGCACAGAGACGTGGGACGCTTCCTCTGACCGCCGTTGCTGCAACCTGTGCCCAGCTAACCATTTGGTGTGGTCCTGATCTATCTGGACGTACGTGTAGATTAGTTCTGTTCATGTGCTTGTACAACTGCGGTTGTTGTTACACTGCTCTGCCCCATCTTCAGGAGAGCAGCACTTCGAACTTTTTAAGTACGACGTGCGTTACACGCGTCAAGTCTTTCTGCTGCAACAAAACTACTGCTGCTACTACGACCCCATCCAGCCGAGGCTAGCTACCACGCACGAAGGCCACGACACACACAAAAGAAAAAGTGATCTGTACCAAGTGTTTTTGTGTTTGTTTTCCTCGCTTGTATACTGTTTTAGTGTTCGGCATTTCGTTATAGCGCAACACCGCAGCCCTCATTAGCTTCCTTCGTTTGGTTTTTGGGGTTGAAGGGAAAAGAACAAGGTTGAACCAAAGTTAGAGACGGCCGCTGTCCTTATTATGGAGAGGCGTAGTGCGCCGTTGCGGTGTGCACTACATGAAAAAAAAGCACACTGCTGTGGTCCTCGTAATTCCACGACGACCGCGTTGACTCCCGGGCTCCCGGTGAACACAAAGCAGAGCCGTGGTGGCAAGAACGCTTCATGGTGTGCACCATGTCGAAAACAAAAAACACTTCGGGCATAGTTCCGTCCACGTTTGAACTCCTGGTCAACACAAACATGCAGGCACTCGCAACGCAGGACAGGTCAACGCAGGACAGATCGAGAGATAAAGGACAGCATTCAACGAGCACAGAAAATAATATATTGTGCTCTGGCGAAGGTGCAACAACACCGCAACAACAGCAGTCCCATGCGTTGGTCATGTACTACAGGTACTCTTTTCCAACGCACCAATAACCTGCGCGAAGGACGTAAAAGAACGGGAAGTTGAGGCTGCTATCCCCCCTCCCCGCTAGCCACCCTAATAGCCGGCTGTGTTTTGCCTAGTTGAACCGTGTACCGACGGTACAATGAAGACCCTAGCAACGCTATACGCAGACCACAAACAAAAGCACGGGAGCGCGCACGCGAAAGGGAGGGACGCCACGCGCCGATTCAACCATTCGTGCTACAATACTAGCTACTCCGGTAGTATTCTCGGGCGTCTGGCCCTAGCACCCGCCCCTTTTGTGCCTCTTGCTCTGCCCCGTCTGCTTTTGAGCGAGCGGCGGGTGCAGGTGCTCCATGTGCATCAGATGGGCGGGTTCCTGAGGAGGCGACCGAGCCTGCCCGCCACCACCAAAGTCGACGTTGTTCAGGGAACGAAGCGGCGTGCCCAAGCCCTGGAACGTGTGCGCCCCGTTGGCGGGAGTCTGTAAGACGGAAGGCGCAGGCACTGCGCCGGCGGCAACGGGATTTTGAACAGTGGGAACCCCTGATACAGGGCTCGACGTGCCCGTGGCCAAACCAACCGATTCCCCACCACCTCTGCCCGCCCCCCTGCCTCTGCCT